GGGTGTCTGACCACTGCTCAGCCCAGGGCTCTCGCGGGAGCATCCCTTCTTTCTTGCCTGTTTCCAGTCAAGGCTGTCGGGGAGATCTAATTGTCCCCAGACCAGCTGGGGATTTGCTGTCCTGCACTGGGCTCTGGCAGCAGTCATGGCACTGGTCAGGGGGAGAGCAAGGAAAGGCCGTGAGCTTCCCTGTGCTGAGGCCTATCGCTTCCCTCCCGCCCTGGAAGGGTTTGCTGTGTCAGCTGCTGCACGGACCCAGGCGGTTCCTTCGGGTGTTCCAGCACTTCCCCCTGCTCCCTCAACTTCTAACAGCACGTAAACCCAGTGCCTGGCCGATGGGCTTTTTGCAGTGATTCAGGCAACCCATTAATTTCCATCAGCTCTGGTTGTCTGGGATCGAAAAGCCACATTTGAAGACCTTGTCTGAATTTTGACTTTTTAAATTATTTTTTGCTGTAAAGTTGAACAAAGGATTTCTTTTCACAGAATCACAGAACGGTTTGGGTTGGAAGGGACCTTAAAGACCATCTAGTTCCAACCCCCCTGCCATGGGCAGGGACACCCTCCACTAGACCAGGTTGCTCAAAGCCTCATCCAGCCTGGCCTTGAACACTTCCAGGAATGGGGCATCCACAGCTTCTCTGGGCAACCTGTTCCAGTGCCTCACATTTCAGTAGCGTGGGTGTTTTGGTTTTGCCTTTGGACTAAAAGGAAAAAAGGCTGTGTACCTTTTATTCCAGCCGCACATACCTGTTGAAAGGCAGACTGTTTGTGTAGACCCTGTGCTTGGAGCAGCTCCTGCGGAAGACAGAGAAGACGAGAATTTAAATCTGTGGGCTGAGGCTGAAGCTGTACAGAAAGTGCACGACTTAGTGACTTCTCTGGCACGGGGCCTGTCCCTGCAGTGCCTTTTCTGGGCTCCTCGTGGTGCAGAAGTGCTCCATGCCCTTTGCGGAGCCAAGCACGGTGCTTTCCAGGGGCTGGCCGTGGCCGAGCTGCTAAATGGTCGGCTCTGCTCCGGTTCCTTACTTGCTCTGACCTGTTCCCTCGGTAGTATGAGCCTGACCTAATCCTTTTTTTCCTTCTGCCACAGGACGGTTAAGAAGCTGGGAGGAGGATAAATGGAAGCGAAGAACACCCTACCATTTTTTTTTCTGCAACTTGTTTAATGGAAAACGGGGTTGTGATAGCACCAGCCAAGGCAGCAGGAGCCACCCACCCAGAACCAGGAACGACACCGCGCCCACGTCTCCGCGTTGCAGTTGGCGGTCGCGCTTCTAATGACGTTACGAGCGTCGCTACTTGGCTGCATTCTGGTCCTTCACGCTGTCCTCACACAGTTCCCAGCCTAAGGATTGGAATCAGGGTATTGACAACTGCCGACCCAGAGACGCTGGACTAGGGGAGACCAGCCGGCTCACGTTGGCACGATTCTGCTGGATGTACACTTAAGGAAGGAGCCTGGCCCAGCTGCCAATGCTTCCACCTGGCAGCATGTGACTTGGCAGTGCCTTTTCCTGCCCGGGAGATGGAAAACCTGGATCAAATCATCTGAAAGTTCTTCTGAACTCCAGTGCTCCCAGAGATGTGGATAGTGACCCTGCGGGGATCAGGAGCTCTTCCCAGGAGACTTGCATCAAGGCTTCGAGGTAACAGAGAGAGCAACAGCAGACCAGGTGACGCAGTATTTTCCTCTGGAAGGAATCCTTCCTACAGGGCTATCATGTGGTATTTACTTGGAAAATGTAAAGCCTGATGAGACAGTGTAAATAGACTGTAAATCTGGCCTTTCCAAAGGAGTTTTTCCATTAAGACTCTGGGAATGTTCTTCACTCCAGTGTTTCAGAGGCAGTAGGCTGGGGCGTGTGCCGCCTGCTTTCGCTGCCCTTCGTCACTGCTCCACAGAATTGGTCCCAGCAGCTTTATTGTATATAAATTATGTCACTGTAACCGTGTAAAATAAACTACACAACCATGGCTTTCCGTTAGTACCGAGAGTGGAAGTGATATCCCACGCCAGGTCTGGAGAAAGAGGAGCCAAGCTCCCATGGCCGGGGCAGCGAGCGCTGTGAATGTCTCCCGGGTATCCTGCAGCGGGAAAAGCAGACCCACTAGGGTGCGTTGTCAAGCCGGCACTAGGCTCAGGCAAGGGGGGAGGCAGCACTCCGCAAGCCAAACCCAGCTCCCACCCCGACCCAACTTGTTCTGGTCCCTGTGACTCCCCCCACGGACCTGGGCTGCCATACCGATGTTTCCCTCATCCGTCCGGGTTTGTGCAGATCCTTTAATTCGAAGGACTGGGAATTTAGGCTTCTGAGGAAGGTACAGGAATCTTCCTAGTTCATGTATTGCAAGAAAAGTCACTTCCACAGTAACACCATAGTTTGCGGTACTGGAGCTGTGCAAATCCTTTAGGAATAAAGGGACCTGGTTATTCCAAGGTGGACACTGGGTTCACATGAAAATGGGAATGGTCAACCCTGATCTGATTTGACATGAGCCGGCAGCATGCTCTGGCAGCCCAGAAAGCCAACCGTATCCTGGGCTGTATCCGGAGAAGTGTGGCCAGCAGGTCGAGGGAGGGGATTCTGCCCCTGTACTCTGCTCTGGTGAGACCCCACCTGGAGTGCTGCATCCAGCCCTGGAGCCCTCAACATCAGAAGGATATTGACCACTTGGAGCGAGTCCAGAGGAGGCCTTGAAGATGCTCAGAGGGCTGGAGCACCTCTGCTATGGGGACAGGCTGAGAGAGTTGGGCTTGTTCAGCCTGGAGAAGAGAAGGCTCCGGGGAGACCTTATAGCCCCTTCCAGTACCTGAAGGGGCTACAAGGAAGCTGGGGGGGACTTTTCACAAGGGTCTGTAGTGACAGGACAAGGGGTAACGGGTTTCAATTGAAAGCGGGGAGGTTTAGATTAGATATCAGGAAGAAGTTCTTCATGGAGAGGGTGGTGAGGGACTGGAACAGGTTGCCCAGAGAAGCTGTGGATGCCCCATCCCTGGAAGTGTTCAAGGCCAGGCTGGATGAGGCTTTGAGCAACCTGGTCTAGTGGAAGGTGTCCCTGCCCATGGCAGGGGGGTTGGAACTAGATGGTTTTTGAGGTCCCTTCCAACCCCAACCAGTCTGTGACTCGCCGATTCTACGATGTTCAAGAATCCCTGGCACAGTGTTCAGCTGACTGGAATTTTCCTCATCAAGACTCACCCACAGACACAAGCAATCCATTTCCTCACCCACACAGGTCTGTACAGCTCCGCAGGAGATGGGGCGAGGAGGCTAGCGGAACAGACTTGTCTGCCCCACTCCCAGCTCTCCGAAACACCTGCCAGAGCGCTCGGAGCAGGCGGCTCAGGGTGACTACGCAGCCAGGCTGCAGCCCTGCAACCCGTCCCACCCAAGCGGTTCCCGTGCCACCAGCCGCTGAGCGCAGTAGCACGCAGCAGAGTAACCAGAACCATTACACGTACGAAAATCTTTATTTGAAAATACAAACATGTTTTTTTAAAACGTTTGAACAGATCTACACTGCAACCAAAAAATAACTTACATCTTTTTGTACATTTTTTTTTTTTCCCCCTAACAAAATCAGTTTAACTGTAAGAGTGAGGCAACGATTCCAAGCTGCTGTGACACCGATGAAAATCCATGGAATGTGTCAATAGCAAACAGCTGAAGGAGGGGACAGACAACAGCACTGAATGCCCACAACAGATTAGTGCACATCACTGATGGAGTAACATTTATACAAAGGATTTCTAAAAAAAAAAAAAAAGAAAAAAAGAAATTGGTTCCTTCTACATGAATTAACATGCTCATTTCTGATCCAGCATGACGCGAAAACAGACTTCATCGTTAAATCACCTCCCCGTAAAGAACAGCAATGAGAAGACCAAAGTTTAAAGGGGGGAGCAGAGTTAGAGTTGGGGCAAACAAGGACCACACAGAGAAGCGACTCGTCCCAGGCATTTGCTTTCCTCCTGCGCATCTCTCCCTTGCCGAGGCATGCGCGAGCCCTAGAACCCTCTCTGAGCCTCCCAAGTCGGGCAGACATTGTCTCCTTATCTCCCGCACCGGGCCAGGCGCTCCTGCTCACCCACGGGATGGAGACGGTCAGCGCACCACACGTCGCCTCCGAGAATTACACAGTTCTCTTAAAAACAGTAGATTCCTCTCCCCTAAAGTCAAATACGGTTATTCTTCCAAAAAGGAATTATGCAACATCTGTAAATAAATATTTTAACCTATTTTACAAACTATGGGCTACTGAATAAATACAAAAAGTTTCACCATTCCATACAAACGCGTTTTTATTTAAAAGGTAGTGTAGTGATTAAATGCTTTTAGCACAGGACTCAGCTGACTTCCTGGAAACAAACCCCACTGAAACCTATAGGTGTGTAGCAGACCTGCTGCAGACTGTCCCTTCTCTTCTGCACCCTGAGCAACCACTACTCAAAGTCCTCTTCGTAGTCGTATTCATCCAGGTCTACATCAGCCAGATGGGACGGCATTTCAAAAAAGGGTCGTTTTTCCATCTGGTACTTCAGGACGTTGGCCTTCTGATGGTCTGCAGGGTTCAGTTCTGCTTCGTACCTGGGAGACAGCAAAAAACCAAAAGTGAGAGACTCTCACTATGCTGAGAAGAGCCCAAATGCCAGGACACTGACACAAGGCACCTGCAGGAAGAACTCCCCTCCCAATCCTTGAGCTTCTCAAGGGCAACAGCTTCTCTGGGCAACCTGTTCCAGTGCCTCACCACCCTCTCCAGGAAGAGCTTCTTCCTGATGCCCATCCTAAACCTCCCCACTTTCAATTTAAACCCGTTACCCCTTGTCCTGTCACTACAGGCCCTTGTAAAAAGTCCCCCACAGCTTCCTCGTGGGCCCCTTCAGGTGCTGGAAAGTGCAATAAGGTCTCCCCGGATCCTCCTCTTCTCCAGGCTGAAGAAGTTTCCAAAACCTTGTATTTACAGCACAGAAACGTAAGCAGAAGCAGCACTTGGTTTCTGTCACGACTGCCTACATCTCGGTAGCTTACTCTCCCATCACGCGCAGAACTTCCTAGCAAGATACTCGGCTCTACCGAAAGGATTCGGAGCACCAGTGGACTGCTCCAAAGTCAGAAGCAGATGCAAGCCTTCAGTGCCTGGCAGAAATCCTGCCGGTTCTTTCCGAGCAAGCTGAATCTATGCCGAATGGCGCAGAGCGAACTACACCTGCGGTAGAGACAACGAAGGAGGAAGAGCATGGAAAGCGCTGTGAAAGCGCACGCGAGCGCGTGGAGGTGATAGCAACCAACTGCGTATCCAAAGCGGAGGCTGGAAAGCCAGAGCCAGTTGTTTAAATGAGAAGTTAGTGAGAACCACCAGCTGCTGACAGATAACGAAGCTTCCTGTCTGACTCGGACCAGTGAGGGCTGGCAGAGATCTGCTTCAGCCCTGCTTTCATGGGATCCGTCTGTAACCCACAGCTGCTAAAAGGGATTCAGTATCCGTAGAGATTTCCTGATGTCAGGTTACGGAACCGACCGTTTACCAGGCTGGGCCTGCACGGATGCACGCACACTTCCCAAGCGCCACGGAACCTGCCCCCAGCCGCCATCCCTCTCCTTCAGGAGAGCGGGCGAAGGGCAAGCTTCAGGCACTGCAGTACCTGCTCCTCAGAGGTGGCTTCCCAAGGGCACGCTGGGGAGGATTAGAAGTTTCCTCCGAGTTTAACACCAAGAATCCACCCCGAACACTGAAGCGGAGCGGCAGGAACAGCGGAGGCGGGAGGAAGAACCACCTTCTCCGCTGTGAACGCAATTCCCTTGAAACACCTCACAGAGAAACCATTAATCACGTTAAGGCAGCTTCACCACCACTTCGAGTAAAGCCAACCGAACAAGGATGCTTCGATAGTAGCAGGGAAAGAACAAGCAGGGAGTGAGAAATCCTTCCCGATTTTCTCCCCTCCTCCCCTTTTTTTGGTCATTTCATTGGTCATTCACTCCCCGGGGTGTGAAAGCCTCGACTAAGTGCGCCTCAGTCGGTGCTTCGGCAGGGAACAGACCCCCTTGGGGCGTCTCCCTCGGGGTCTCCACTGGTTTGAACCGGAAACCGAAGCCATCCCAACAGCTGCTTTACCCAGTCACACACTTGCGGACAAGGATTGGGAGGGAAGATGCATATTCTACCATAACAATGGTTTTGGCTCACAAACCTGTAAGTTAGGGTCTGGCTACACCATTAATTCCCTCTTTTTGAGAGGGATTTTTGTTTCTTGGTTAGAGATCTGGAGTTGTTCGGAGTTGTTCATTGCGTAGCGACAGGGGCGACAGCAGCTTTTCCAGTCATCAGAAGTGGCAGCGTGAGGAACTCTCAGATACTACTTGTAGGATCCACCTATTCTATACGCAGAAGGTAGTTACTCAAATATTACTGGGCCAAATGAAAACCCTCCTCTCTTCCAAAGCTTTGGTGGCCCCACAGAATATCCCTTTTACTCCTTCCCAAGATACTGAAGTTAAGGAAATCTAGACACATCCCAGTTTCACATATCTGGACACTGAAATGATTCGAGTTACTTCTCCCAGCGTTTGATCCCAGCACAGGAGTGTTTATAAATATACAACCATACAGCTACAACACCCCTAAAAAGTCCTTTTTTCCCCCTGCATGCATTTCTGAACTTCACGTAAATGTAAAGAAATTAGCCTATTTCCTTATACCGCTCCCACATGTTTCAGATCAGCTGTTTTAATAGGAATGTCAGGAAAATATTTTCCGTAGAGATAGCCAAATTAAAAAAAAAAATCATCCTGGACTGGCCAACAGTCAGTTCAGCTGGGGCAGGCATTAATGGCCCTTCACACACAGCACCTGATTTTAAGGAAGGTTTTTGTACACCGCAGTGGCTTAACCTGCTCATTGTAAGTTTTTGGGCATTTAACTCTACCAGCAGCGAGGAAACTCTGAGTAGCCTTGTGCTTCTCTCGGCTTCAGCACCAGAAGTTAAGCTTCATTTTTCAGGACAGCTGTAGGGAGGAAGTTTGGGACAGTCCTGCTGCGGTAGAGTAAGTTCTGAGGAGACTTTTGCTGACCTCCACTTGCAGGAAGCATCCCAGTACAGAGTCAGATTTGACAGTGCCTCCCTGAGAGCCAGATCAGATACTCTTTAGGTTCACACCTATTTGATTACAACTCAAGATTCAGTTGCTTATTTGATGAACAATTTGGAAGGTATCTGAACTTTGCTCTTGATCAAACCCCAGAGAATCTCAGCAGCCTTTGACTCGCTTCCCATAGAAGGGTAGGCAGGAATCAGAAACAAGAAAATAAATCACCTGGCTGTTTAGTCAACCCAAACAAATCTTGCATGGGGTTGTGGTACTTGAAACACTGGCAAATTACAGAGTTGTAGCTAATGGAGACTATGATCATTACAATCCGTACTCCAAGGAAATGCTAAACACCAAAGCTTCAGGAACACTCAGATAAAAGCTTTTATCAATCGGTGTGGAGGGCCAACAGTTAAGCTGTGGCTTGTGCCTCAAACCCAAGCAGCAACTCAGACAGTAACCTCATTAGTTAAATGCATGATTTTTTGGGCTGTGCTTTGATTGGATGTAGTATTATTCTTTAATTCTCAGGTTTTTTTTTCTTTTTCCTCCTACAAGATCTGTGACAACTCTACTAATGCCAGAAGAGGCAACTTACAACCAGAGTGTCACTTGTGTTCAAACACCAGCCTCAAAAGTAATGAGAAGCTGAACATTTCGGCATCATAGAATCACAGAACGGTTTGGGTTGGAAGGGACCTTAAAGACCATCTAGTTCCAACCCCCCTGCCATGGGCAGGGACCCCTTCCACTAGACCAGGTTGCTCAAAGCCTCGGCCAGCCTGGCCTTGAACACTCCCAGGGATGGGGCATCCACCGCTTCTCTGGGCAACCTGTTCCAGTGCCTCACCACCCTCTCCGGGAAGACCTTCCTCCTGATATCCAATCTAAACCTCCCCACTTTCAATTTAAACCCGTTGCCCCTTGTCCTGTCACTACAGATGCTCCTCGCTTGGGGGAACAGCTGCAGCCGATGAGCTCACGACAGAACTGGAATAAAAGCACCTTGAGGCTCTTACTTTATACTCCTCGTGGGTGAAACTGTGCCTAAGCGTGACCTTGGACCTTCACCAAGTTGCGTTCGCCTACAGCAGCCCAGCGACCTCAGACCCATAACCCAGAGGGGCGGAGTGACCCGACTTCCTGCCACGCAGGTCCCTTACCCCTCACAGCAAAAGGGTGTTTTGCCTCCCGTTCATTTCAGCTGCCAGAGCTACTGCGTGAGGTCCCAGGACAGGACACCAGAGGAACAGCCGAAATCATTCCCCGACCCCCTGGCTAAGGATTAGATTTACAGCCCACAGAGCATACTCTTGGGCCCTCAGAAGAGCTGGTTTCTCAGGGTATTCCACAGCAAAGCTTAAGAGCAGTAAGACAGGATATTAAAATCTTAATGGGATCCAGGAAATCTGCATTTAACTATCAACTCTCAGGTGAGCCTGAGAAATTTAGCTAAAAAACATCTGAATTTCACAACTTGGTGTCCGAGAATGGGCAAAATGGCCTTACCACTCAAATTCTGGAAAAGCACAACAGCAGCCAAATTTTAGAACAGGAGGTTGGAGACACACAACTGCCCTGAGAGACATGAGCAGACAGACAGGCAGAAGGAAGAGAATGAGGCTAAACCAACACAGGTGTACACAGCACGTGAGGATGTGGTTCTAGGTAAGGCTGAAGGTGTCCAGATGTGATGGTCCCTCAAGGCTGCGTGACACTATCCATCTCTCCCCAGCCCGGGCTCACGGGCTACCCGCCCCGCTGATGCACTCGCTCCTTTGCTGTGTCACGTTAAGGGGCCCCTCTGCCAGACCCCGAGATGATGGCAGACACTGGGGGCGGGGGGCAGTCTGATCCTGGCAGGAGCAGCCGAAATCCATCAGGAACTTCTTAAAATTTTGACTTTTGATGGTGTAAACATGTTAATTTTATAAGGGCGTTCTAAATCAGAGGGCCAAAAATCTGAATCCTTCATTGGATTATGAAGAATCCAGCAGTTTTGTCAGCCGAGTTACACGTAAGTAACACTTCACAGCCAGCAAGGCTGCAGAAACTGGTCTTTCTCCTGATCCATCCAATTGAAGCTGTTAAGCTGTAATGCTGAGTACAGCTAACAAACAGCTCAAACAGCTAAAAGAGCTTATATACCTATTCTGTACCTTCCCCAAACTCAGCCTATGACCTTAAGGGATTAAATGAGATAAAACACATTACAGGTTTAATATTCCAAGAGACTCTGGAAGCTACACAGTAAGAGCAAAGGAGTGATTGTGAAACACTAAGATTTATTCTCACAGATCTCTAAGCGTAAATAAGAGAAAATACCTCCAAGCTGCTGTAACTGAAGTTATTCAGAAGTAAGAATTCACCCCCTTTCCCCCCCACCAAGAGCTCTTCATGAAACTCTTCATTCATTTAACAATCTGCAAAAATTAAGGTTGTATTTTGTTTAGAGTTTAAGCTTTTTCAAACCTTCTTTCCTCCCAAAATTTGAAGTAGGACCTTTTCTTGGACAAAGCCAACGTGATCCCAAACTGTCAAGGAGTATTTAATTCAAAACACAAGCAAGGTTCTTCCTCCCTCCTCAAGCACACGGCTGAGCATGACAAACAGCAGCATTCTACGAGAAGAGCATTAAGGAGGAGAACAGTGGCCAGCCCCTACAGTAGTAGAGAGGATCCCTACTAACCCTCCTGCTACAGCCTTACCCGTCGTTCCACTGGTCGCTTGCTGCTTCTTCTGCCACCAAGAGGTCGTACTCTTCAGCCGCGTACTTCTCCCAGTCGGAGATCTCCTGGCTTTCACCTTCACCATCCTACACAACCACATCACAAGTTATACCCAACAGCATCAGTTATCCAGCCCATTGCTGAAAAGGCTTCTGAGGCTTCGCACTCACCCGCAGCACAGAAAACTGATCCTTCTGCTCATGGTCAAGGTATTTTTCAATGTTGAAAAACGTGTCGAAAAAGACATTTGTCAACTTACACCGCTTTAGGTCATGCAGAGTGATTTTTCCTGTAAAGAAGATTGAGATAAGATACTCAGAGCTGAAGTTGTCCTTTCCCCAAAGAGGAGGAATGCTATTCAGAAATTAGGTCATCACTATGCTCAAACGTTTGGCACTGGTGCTCAGTGCAGTGGGAGAGGTGAACAGGTAAAATGCACAGCTAGAGAAGTGCCCTTGGGAGTGGGCAAAACGTTTTAAGTGTTTCGCATTTATTACTTGCCTCAGCTGTCATCCTGCTGTCCTTCACTATGTCAGAGTGAGATGCAGCCTACCTCACCTAGCTGTTAAAAATAATATAAGCTAGTTCTGGAAGCTTCCTCAGGAAAGACGTGTCCAGTGAGCTAACCATTCCTTCCCAAGGAGCGCTCGAGTAGCAGGTAAGAATCTCCTCTGGCAGTGCCCCTTTCTCCACCCTGACTGACAAGTGCATGAAAGGGATGACGGTGCGCGACTATGCGTCACAAATGACTTTTTCAGCGACTAGCTTGCCACACCTGTCCAGCCTGACCAGTATTTACAGCTTGAGAGGAAAGCTAAATGCTGAGGTGGTTGGTTTGTTTCCCTCTTGTGAAGCGATACTTTACGGGCTCGAATGGACGGATGTGGCAAGTGTTAGAAGCACTTGTCAGGTTGCTCAGAAATGTTACCTTACTTCAAAGCTGAGTATTAAGCTTCTGTAGGAAGACTGAAATACACCAGGCACACAGGTAAAGAAGGATGTTAATCCTTAAGACTCTCCTGTACTGATTCACCTGAAATACAGCCAGTCTTGGGTTGTCAATCAGAGGAGCTCAGTGCAGATGTTATGGAAGAGTTCAATAACAGCCAGACTTAGAACAGTATTCCCTCAGCACACCATCCTGGCCTCTTAAAGTATAACCCAGGGACATCAGAGGGGAGCAAATTAAGAATCCAGTTTGGAGATGACGGCCCCACTTCAGGTGTCTGTCGCCATCTGAAGTGCCCTAGCGTACTCCGCACGGCTTAGGGCTGATGCTCCAGAAAACCACACATCCCTCGCGGCACCTGTGTCTCATCTGTCAGGCCCACACAGATGTCTGATGCGTCGGGACATCTCAAGTGGCAGCAACGCTCCACAACCAAGCAACTGATGGAGTCCTAGTTATATCAGCTCCTAATTTAAGTTGGGCGCCTATATTTGGTTCCTCGATTTGGTCTCAATTTTCCATTTATTGCAAAGGAGCTTGGACACCCAACACTCGTGTGGATGCCTATGTTGTCTCTTAAAGACCAAAAAAAAGAAGAATGAAATTCAGGTTACTAAATTCAGGTCTCCACGAATTAAAGAATTTGTGCTTTGGTGCACAGAGCATCAGCACCAAGTTGTATCATAGTTCTGCCATAAACGTAAAGAAGTGACGCCTTCTGTTTCAAACCTACCAAGTAAAACATCATTTTATGCCGCTAGTGTTTGTATGGAAAGATCACAAGATTTTTGTTAATCCACCTTTAAAATGTCACCCAGTTTTTATGAAAATGAAAGCAACCCTTCACAATCAGCTTTCATTTTCATTGCCCTGAGTGACTCTCATCTTGGTTGTGTTTCAGAGCCTCCTTTTATCACCTTCAGGATACACAACAGGCACATCAATGAGCCGGCACTGTGCGCTGGCAGCCCAGAAGGCCAACCGTACCCTGGGCTGTATCAGGAGAAGTGTGGCCAGCAGGTCGAGGGGGGGGATTCTACCCCTCTGCTCTGCTCTGGTGAGACCCCACCTGGAGTACTGTGTCCAGCTGTGGAACCCTCAACATCAGAAGGATATTGACCACTTGGAGCGAGTCCAGAGGAGGCCACGAAGATGCTCAGAGGGCTGGAGCACCTCTGCTATGGGGACAGGCTGAGAGAGTTGGGCTTGTTCAGCCTGGAGAAGAGAAGGCTCCAGGGAGACCTTATAGCACCTTCCAGTACCTGAAGGGGCTACAAGGAAGCTGGGGGGGACTTTTTACAAGGGCCTGTAGTGACAGGACAAGGGGTAACGGGTTTCAATTGAAAGTGGGGAGGTTTAGATTGGGTATCAG